CTCTCGCTGAAATATAAGGCATCCCCGAAAATAAGACATCCCCCAAAATAAGGCACCCTGAAGCTACTATAACTCTGGACCGTAGCAGTGGGTGCCACCACAAAGCTCACTGTTGGCCACAGCGCAGCCAGAGGAGACAGGAACTGTGAGGTCTCTTTTAATAAAACAATAAATAATAAATGTGTACCATATTCTTCTTCACATAAAATTAAAAAACATCCCCTGAAAATAAGACCTAGCACATTTTTGGGAGCAAAAATTAATATAAGACACTGTCTTATTTTGGGGGAAACAAGGTATTTACACCTCAGGCACCCATGAGAACTAGATATTCACACCCCCTCAAAAAATGTTTCCTATAGATGATGCCTGCGAAATACCTGAGATACTCGGTATATGTAATTAAATTGTATTTTCTGAACACACTAAAGACAACCAGATAGTTCATACTAGGTAAAGCTGACTTGTGGGTTGTTTTGGTTTTATTTTAACATTTTAATATGTTGATAAGAGCCATGGTGGGGCAGTGGACTAAGTGTTGGGCTACTAACCAAAAGGACAGTGGTTTGACTCACAGCATTTGAGTTGGCATCCACCATAGGAGAAAGAGGAAACACTGAGTGTTTATAAGGATTTACGGCTTTGGAAAGCCTATGAACAAGTTCTATCCCTCCCCTGTAGTACAGCCCTGAGTCTTATTCAACTCCACCAACAAACTAAACTTCCTGCCACAGTATCAATTCTGGTTCATAAATGACCTGGTAGGACAGAGAACTGTGCGTGTGAAGATCCAAGGCTGTAAGTCTTTAGGGAAGTAGAGAGTCTCAGCATCCTCTGGAGACGAAGTGGCTAGTGGTTTGAAACTGCTAACCTTTTATATATTTTTTAAATCATTTTAATGGGGCTCATACAACTCATCACAATCCATACATACATCAATTGTGTAAAGCACACTTATACATTTGTTGCCCTCATCATTCTCAAAATAGTCTTCCGCTTGGGTTCCTGGAATCAGCTCCTCATTTTCCTTTTTCTCCTCCCCCACCCTCCCCGCTCCTGCTAACCTTTTAGTTATCAGCCTAATTTGTAACCCACTGTACTGCAGGGAAGCCTTATCAATGTCATGACAGTGGGTTTTTGTTATTGTTGGCTTCTTTGTTGTTGTTCATTTGTCTGTTAACATATAGATATGAGTCTAGTAATTTTGCAAAGAGTCCGAAATCCTAATCTCAGTGTTCTTCCTTTGAGCTTTGAGAAAACATGTGTATTCACAAAAGCTTCTTGGATACCAACTTCTTAAGGAGCGTAAGAGTTTAAAATGCAGCTGCTCAAAGCTGAGGTTCCGAGAGGTGGCTGTGCTCGAGTAACCAGCACAATTTATCAGCTTAATATCATCCAAGGAACTATGACTAGACACCATCATTTTAAATAGACTTCGAGATCTTCACTTGGGATTATTATAAGATAAAATTACTCCTAAACTCACATTTCTATTTTCCAAATCACTTGTTCTTGGATAGATCCTTTCAGAACAAGTATGGCCAATGAAGTTTGTATTCTTTCATCTCTGCTGATTATAAATGAACTACAAATATCTCAGCATTTGGTAAATTGGAACCTTCAAAATATAATAATTTCAACTGTCTCTCCTGGAATGACTGGGAAAATTCATTTTGTGCACATATTTTCATTGCTGACTGGGTTCTACTATTTTCCTCTTCTCTCTCATGCCTTGCTCAGTCTAGTTATTTTGTATGCTAAGTCACAGTTCCAGTTTATTGTCATATGTCGTATGCCCCTTTAAGAAAAACTTTCTAACTGGGCTCTTTAGAATTTCCGATGGCTCATTCTCTAGCATCACAGTTTGAAAATTGATTGTGTTGTTAGGTGCTGTAAAGTACATTCTGACTCACAGTGGCCCCGTCCACCTGTGACTCAGTAGAGCTGCCCCGTAGGGTTTTCCTGGCTGTGATCTTTACTGAAGCAAATCACCAGGTCTTTTCCCAAAGGAACCACTGAGTGGGTAGAAGGGTATTGGAAACCAAATCCTTTCAGTTAGCATTTGGGCACTTAACCATTTATGTTTCCAGGATGCCCCTTTTACACAATTATAACTTGGAGGAAAATGTATAACGAACATTCCTTATAGTGGACTATATCCTATGCCCCAAGCCCCATTTTGACCTTTGAGATAAAACTCACGCTCATCATCTCAGGAGTCCTCCATTAAATTACCAGAACTTTACTGCATTTAAAATTGATTTGATGGGAGATGTGGCAACCATCAGAGCCACAGGGTCTATGTCACCAGCTTTCTTTTTCGTTTTACCTCCTTAAATCAAAAAATGACTTTGGTTCATCATGGCCTGACCCATATATTCAGAAATTTGTTCCATTAACTCTTTTAATAGTCCCTTCTCTAGGGCTCTGATGAGATTAAAGTCATTTCCCGCCCCCCTATCCTCCGCCCTAGAGGCTGAACGTCTCCTCCATTCACCATAATTCACTGGCTCCAGCTAATAGGAAAGAGGGATGGAGGGATGGAGGCTACTGGAAGGCTGTCTTTTTTAGAAAGCTTTGATTTGCGGGCTCCTAAATTTCCCTCCCTTTTCAGCATTGGTCTGATAGGAAGAATAGTGTCCACTACATCTATGATGTAAGAGTGTTGAGCTGAATTCAGTCCTTCAATAGACCTTTCCCACAATTTTGGCTAAGTCCTAAACTCCCATTAGTTTTTTTTAATGAAAACTAATTAATTTTCCAAAAGTTTTAGTTGGGCAATGAATTTTATGAATCATTTGAATCCTATGTTTTCTACCCTTAGTAGAAAACAGAATTTGATCTATAAAAGGGAGAGGAGCTGGAATGTACTAGATACCTGAAGGAGGTGAAAAAGTTGTAGCAGAAAATCAACTCAGTAGCTAACAGCCTTAGTGAGATAAACTCTTCATGACTTAATAATATTTAACCCAAAGATGGTCATTTGCTATACCAAGATTTTGTTCTGGATTCTTAAATGACATAAGACACTAGCTGTTTCTTGACTTTAAGTATTTACCAATCACACTTGACACCTACGTCTTATTATACTTCTTATCTCTCATAGGTGTATAGCCTACATATTATCTTTTCTCTTAGTACAGCTGGGGAGGCAGTTACAAAGATTTCCATAAAGTTAAGTGACAGAGACTGCTGGACCACATATACAACCAGAATGTAAATGAAAAGTTAACAAGCAACAACAAAAATAAATAACTTTTATTTGCAGTCATCATAATTACTACTCTTAAATTTTTCCTCTACATAGAAAACTAGAAAAAGAATAAAACAATTATTTTCAGACATTATATAAAGGGTACCACACGAATACGATGCCTATGATTTCTCTGGGTTTCTGCTTGGAGGCCAATTTTGTACCACAGGGCAGATATGAGAATATAATCAAAGCACAGTGGTCTGAGATGAAGCCACAGTATCAGAATTTGGGGAGGTCCAATTTGTTAGGCACCATACCAGAGCAAAAGGAGCTGTTCAGAATAAGAATTCCACAAACCAACAAAGGGACATCCAAATCAATTGCTGAATACTAGGTTCTGCACATGTTGGATAAGACTCCACAAGACCGGGCAGAGAACAGCTTGAAGTAAAAAGCAACTAGTTGGGAGACTTAAAAAACAACAAATCTAAACTAAAATATACTTATGTAATTTAATACCAGCTAGGTTATGTTCAAGTTCCAACCACCAAGGGGGGAGCAAATTTGGAAGGGCTACAAATTTAGTTGTATAGATACCCTAGATATATAGTGAAAGGTATCTTACATACCCTGTTTTGAAAAGTTAAAACACTTACTTTGAAAAGAACAAGAGGATTCCAGGTAATTTAGCTATCAATCAAAAAATAAATCTCAATATTCTTTAAAGGAAAAACAAAACAAAATCTAGCATCAAAAATATATATAATCTTTACAATGTCAAGCATCCAACAAAAATGACCAGACTCGCAAAAAAAAAGTAGAGAAATGTGGCCCAAACTGAACAGAAAACCCAATCGACAAGATATAGATTCAGAAATAACAAATAACTACTATATGTAAAAGCTATTGTAAATATGATCCAGCTTTTTAAAACAACAATGTATGTAGGAGTAAAAAGACCAATGGGTGGATGGATGGATTAGAAAATGTTCTGAATCAAGTAAGAGAGTATCTGAAATCAAACATTCACTGGGTGGGATGAACTGCAGATTATACATTGAGAGACAATGTCACTGGATTTAAATGACTAACAGTAGATGGTGTTCAAGTGGAAGCACAGAAAGCTACAGAAGAGGATAGATATTGTGAAACACGATCAAGTCCATCTAATCCATTATACCATTGAACTTTTAGGAAAGGAAAGAAATAATGGAGTGAATGAGGTCCGATCTTTTTCTGTATTTGATGAAAACTGTGAACCTTTATATACACAATCGTGCTTATATATACATATACATATATGTGTATATATGCACGCATATATATATATATATATACACACATATATATACGTATTACAATATATATATAAAATTGTGTTGATCCTACCTCATTTGGTTGCCTTTCTTAGGTATGAAACATCAGTCACAGGCGCTTGCGCAGGTGCAGGGGTTCCCTGGGTGGGCGCTGGGGGCGGAGCCAACGTCACGACGTCATGGCGTCATGACGTCACCCTCACCTGACCGGACCTGGCGTCACGGAAGCCAAAGCGAGGCAGCAGCCCAGAAGCCCGAGGCCCAGCCTAGTAACTGTGAGAAGCCCCTCAGGAACTGCGGCCTGCCCAAAAGACCCCTGAGGGAGGGAGTGGCCGGGACCGGTGGGCTCTGCGCCCTGTAACGCCACCACCGAGAGCCGCCTCCTTTTCCGCCTCCTCGCTCGCTCGGGAGACCAGCCCCGAAGGCCCCATCTTCCCGCCTCCGCGTCAGGCCTTGCCCCCAGCCCTCCATCTTGTTTCTCTGTCAGGATGGCGACCAGCAGCGGCTCCAAGGCCGAATTCATCGTCGGAGGGAAATATAAACTGGTCCGGAAGATCGGGTCGGGCTCGTTCGGGGACATTTATCAGGCGATCAACATCACCAACGGCGAGGAAGTGGCAGTGAAGCTCGAGTCTCAGAAGGCCAGGCACCCCCAGTTGCTGTACGAGAGCAAACTGTATAAGATTCTCCAGGGCGGGGTGGGCATCCCGCACATTCGGTGGTACGGTCAAGAGAAAGACTACAATGTCCTCGTCATGGACCTTCTGGGACCCAGCCTCGAAGACCTCTTCAATTTCTGTTCCAGAAAGTTCACAATGAAAACTGTACTGATGTTAGCGGACCAGATGATCAATAGGATTGAGTATGTGCACACCAAGAATTTTATACACAGAGACCTTAAACCAGATAACTTCCTAATGGGTATCGGGCGCCACTGTAATAAGTTATTCCTTATTGATTTTGGTTTGGCCAAAAAGTACAGAGACAACAGGACACGGCAACACATACCATACAGAGAAGATAAAAATCTCACCGGCACTGCCCGATACGCGAGCATCAATGCACATCTTGGTATTGAGCAGAGTCGCCGAGATGACATGGAATCATTAGGATATATTTTGATGTATTTTAATCGAACCAGCCTGCCATGGCAAGGACTAAAGGCTGCAACAAAGAAACAGAAATATGAGAAGATCAGTGAAAAGAAGATGTCCACACCCGTTGAAGTTTTGTGTAAAGGGTTCCCAGCAGAATTCGCCATGTACTTAAACTATTGTCGTGGGCTGCGCTTTGAGGAAGCCCCGGATTACATGTATCTCAGGCAGCTATTCCGCATTCTTTTCAGGACCCAGAACCACCAATATGACTACACATTTGATTGGACTCTGTTAAAGCAGAAAACCGGAGGACATCAGGCACCTTCTACCAGTGGGCAGGGTCAGCCGGCGCAAAGCCCCACTGGCAAGCAAACGGAGAAAACAAAGAGTAACACGAAAGGCTTCTAAGCACGAATTAAAGAGAAGAAGAAGCAAGCAGAGCAGATGATTGGAGCAGCATTTGTTTCTCTCCAAATCTAGAAATTTTTGTTGATATGTATACTAGCCAGCGGTTGTGGACAACCATTTACTTGGTGTAAAGAACAGTATAAATTGTCTCTTAAGCAAGCAGCACTGGTGATGCTGTGTCCTGAGCTGTAGCTGCTTTCATTTTGAATATTAACTGAGAGAGCGAAACATGGTGTCCAGTTTCCTATTGTATTTCTTCAAGTAGAAAAGTTAACTAAATAGTTGACACACAAATTGGGAGAGATTGCGCAGATGCCAATTTTCCCCCCGTTGTTAAAACCTCTGTAACTATACTGCTTTGAGATGTCATTTCAGAAGAAAAGCAATGCCCTGTCTTTAGCCGCAATCGTGAGGGTTGTAATGCTCTCACTTGTGCCTCCTTAGGGGTTTTCCATTCCTGGGGTTTGCAAGTTGTTCACTTAAAAAACAAACAAACAGGAAACACCTTAAAATGGTTGGCTTCTTATTTTCAGGTCAGCAGATAGGGGAGCGGCAAAGATGAAAGACTGAACCTGCATACTGTGCTAGAATAACAGCAACTAAAATGAACACTTAAGAAACGTAGTGACGTCTAGATTACCTTTAGAACTCTACATTAACTCTGTCACGTTCTTGCTATATGGCATTTGTCACAACAGAAAAGGCGTTACCATCTTACCACCAAAGATGTATGTACATTGCATAGATAAATGTAATCATTGTAAACATCTATATGATCTGAGATTTGTTTTTATTTTAAATTATTTAAATTTAAATTATTAAATTTGGGAGCATTTTTGCTTACAAATTCATTAAAAACTAAAAACTGTTTAAAAGAAACAGACCAGTAATGAAGCATACACACACTTACCTATCTTCAAAACATCCTCCACACTTTCCATAAGAAATACTGCAAGTCAAAGTTCAGACTGTAGAAACAGCCTTAAAATGCTAAGAACAACAACAGCAATAAAAGGAACAAACACAAAATTTCTTAACCTAAAAATATAAAACCAATGACTATCTCGAAAATCATACCAAAGATCTAAATTCATAAAAAGGAATGAGGAGCCCTGGAAAATGTAATATATTTTTTCCTTGTGCATATGTTATGAGTCTCATCTCATTATTTGTCTTCAAGTAGGCTATTAACTTTTAAATAATTTAAAAATATATATTTATATACATGTTTAAACATAATTCAAGTATATATTTAAATAATAAGAAAATGTGTGGAAATAACGTGACAGACCTAAATCATATATGTATCGAAATAGAAATTAGAGTAGTAACAAAATATTTTGAGCTAAGTAATAATGAAATCATGATAGAGAAAATGTTTGTGTAATGATCATAAAGCTGTACCTAGAGGGAAAAATATAACCTTTAAAATGTTTGTATTAGGAATGCTAAAATCAATGATGTCCTGTAAAAATCTAAAACATAAGATCAAATTAATCTCAAAGTCAATATAAGGAAGAAAGTAAAAATGGAAATCAAAGAAATGAAAAAGACAAAAAACAATCAGCAAATCTGTTTTTTTAAAGCTCAATAAGATTATTAAGTGCCATGCTAGAACGATGAGAAAAGACTAAACATCAAAATAATCGGTTTTATGTATTATTTATTTATTTTTACTTAATAAATCCTTAACATTTTCCCATGGAAAATATTTTAAAAATCAGGAAGTTATAGGACAACCTTATGCTAATAAATGAAACATAAAAGTCCTCAACTATTTCTAAAAATGCGTACAAGGTTAAGTAGCACAACTGAATAGTTTTATAGCTTTTGAAGGCTGTAAATTATGGTTAAACACTCATCCACAAAACCACTACAGCGATTGAGCTTATGTAGGAGATAATGGGCATTAACCTACAAATCTATATAGGCTTGACAGATGCTATTTGTAGATGTATGTATTTATCTTTGCTGAAAATATATTAATGAATGTGGTGGAACACATGGGGTACAAAGTTATGAAAACTTGCTAAGCATAACACCTTGAAGGAATGAGTTCTTGGGTCCAGAGGCTCAGAACTATAGTTACAGGGATTGTTGTTGTCAGATGGCATTGAGCCAGCTCTGACCTACAGAATCCTATGCACCACAGGAGACATTGCCAGCCCACCCTCACAATCATTCCTATGCTTGAGTCCATTGTTACCGTCACGGTGTCGATTTATTTTGCCCAGCCTTACTCTTTTTGGTACACCCACACCTCTACTTTGCAAAGTATGATGTTCTTCTCTAGGTGCTGGTCCCTCCTGATGACATGTCTGAAGTCTTACCATCCTTGCCTCAAAGGAGCGTTCTGGCCATAATTATCCCAAGACAGAGCTATCTGTTCTTTTGGCAGAACATGGTACATTCAATATTTTTCTCCAGCGCCATAATCCAAATACTCGATTCTTCTTCAGTCTTCCTTAATCAATGTCCAACTTTCACTAGCATATGAATTGGAAACGCCATAGCTTGGGTCAGGTGCACCTTAGTTCTCAAAGCAATATCCTTGCTTTTCAATACTTTAAAGAGGTGTGGTGCGGTGTGGCAGAATTACCAAGTGCAATGAATTGTTTGATTTCTTGGCTGCTGCTTCTATGGGCAATAATTGTGGATCCTAGGAAGATCAAATCCTTGACAACTTCAATCTTTTCCCCGTTTATCATGATGTTACCTATTGGTCCAGTTCTGAGTATTTTGGTTTTCTTTACACTGTTCTCATCTTGCAATCTTTAATCACCAACAAGTGCTTCAAGTCCTCACTTTCAGCAAACACAGTGTTATCATCTGCATATCATAGATTGTTAATAAGCCTTCCTCTAATCCTGATGCCACATTCTCATGTGTCTTGGGACACCTAATCAATTGGCATACCAGTTCACATGGACAATATTCTTCATTCTACTTTGGTGAATAACAACTGGGAACTTAAAAGTTCATGAACAGCCATCCATGGTGTGGCTCTTGGTTTCTCTCTCTCTAGAGAAAAGAAATGTGATGAAAATTAAAAGATTTATGGCAACAATTAGTCCAATAGGCTAATGGACCATGCATATATAGGACTCCACAACACTAAGACCCAAAGAATTAGATGGGGCCCACTACCCCTACCAACTGCTTTGAAGATCACATTAGAAAGTAGCATTGGAGAAAAATATGGAATAGAATTCAAAGTCACAAGAGATACCAGGTTTATTGGTTGGATAAAGACTGGTGAGACCACTGAGACGATGACCCTTAGCCACCCTTCAGATCTGGGCCTGAATTCATGCACTCAGTAGAATAAGCACGGATAGCATTACTTAAGGATAGACAGGAAAGAAATAGAAACAAAGCAGAGGGAGGAAGAAGAGTAAGCCATGATTCACTAAGGGGATTGGAATGGGTGAGTTGAAAGTATAAAAATTGTTAATTGTGAAACGTGATAAGTTCTGCAAACTTCTACCTTATTCACAATACAGAGTTTAAGAAAAAATTATATTGTTTAAATAACCACTGAGTGCATCCAAGATACGGTATGTATACACTGGAATAACTTTTATCACTTTGTTTTGTATCTTTTAAATAGTTTTCCCTACATACATGTTTGTTAATAAAATTGGGATAGTACTTTAAAAAGAAAAACTTATAGTCCCAGAAACTCTATATACAGAAACTCTATATATGAGTTGGGGCGAATAATCACCAGACGTTCAATTATGTAAGTGACTAGGGGATTTCAAAAGTTCATGGACAAATTATATTGTATTTCTATTGCATTTTTTCACAAAATTTTTGAAGCCCTCTCATGTGTCAGGTTAAAATAACACCAACCTAATACAAACTATTTCACAAAACAAAACAAAAAAATAGCAAACACTTCTTAAGTCAAATATGAGTCAATTATTCCTATAGTAAAATCAGACAAAACATCATAGGAAAAAATAAAACAACAGGCCAAATCTTTTATAAATATAGGTGTAAAAACTCAACAAAATATTAATAAATTGAATCTATAATATATTAAAAAGATTATAAACTAGAAGGTGAATTTTATGCCAGGAGTACAAGGTTGGCTCAACATTTCATAATCAATCAATGTAAGTCACCATTTTAACACAAAAAATGAGAAAACATATGAATATCTCAATATGATTTTTTTTAATGAAGTGAAAAATCCAACACTTGTTTTGTTCCAACTTACAGACTTCATGCACAAGAAAATGAAGCACTCTCCTATTCTGTGCCAGTCTCACAACTGTGCAACATTTAAGACCATTGTTGCAGCAACTCGGTTAATCCATCTAATTGAGAGGGTCTTCCTTTTTTTTTGCTGACCTACTTTAGCAAGCATGATGTCCTACTCCAGGGACCAATTTCTCTTGATGAAATACCTGAAGCATGTGAAAAAAATGTTTCCCCATCTTCTCTTCTAAGGAGCATTTGTCAAGACAGACTTATTCATTTTTCTGGCAGTCACGTTATATTTACTATTGTTCACCAACACCCTAATTCAAAGACACCAGTTGTTCAGTCTTCCTTATTCGTTGTTCATATTTCACATGCCTGTAAAATGGATGACACTGCCATGGTGTGAGTGAGGCTCATCTTAGTCCTCAAGGTGACATTTTTGTTTTTTAGCACATTAAAGAGTTATTTGGTAGCAAATTTGTCCAATTCCATACATCATTTGATTTCTTGACTGCTGCTAGTATAGGCATTGATTGTGAATCCAAGTAAAAGAAAATTCTTGACAATTTTAATATTTTCTCTGATTAATATGATGTTACTTATTGTCCATATCCACAGATACTATGATTTTGGATGGACACTATTTAGAGATCTATAAAAATCTATTATCTGTAAATGTACCAAAGTTTCAAGATTCAAGGTCAATATAAAAAGAGTTGTATATTCATATATTTGTTCACACATATACATATATTAGCATTGAAAGTAAGATTTTAAAGTCATACTTT